CGGGGGGCAAAATCTGCTCCCCGTCAAAAATCCCCGCGGGGATCCCCGTCCCCGCCATTCGCGGGGACGGGGACGGGGAGGGACTCCCCGCCCCCGCGGAGCCCCGTTGACATCCCTAAATCTGATTTGATGGATGTAATTTGTAGGTCCCACATTTTCAGCTAATTTTGGTCAAGGATTTTGATTGATATGGGCCAACCTTTCAATATCCTACAAAACCCCTCCTCTTTTCTCTCGAATCTTGTCCCTAGTCATAATTTACCTTCTCATTTGTATGATTATTTTTCCTTTTCAATTCATTAACAATTTCTTTTGTTATTTTCTTGTTACGTTTTTCATCACTTTCAAAGCATTAATTTGACTTTGATTTATCTTCTCATTTTTTATTTTATTTTATTTTGAAATTTATTTTAGAAAAAAAATTACAATATTAATTATTGATTAGTAAATTATGTTTATATTGTTTAATTAATAAATTATGATTATATTAATTACTTATTGATTGGTGAATGATTATATTGATCAATTAATTGATTAGTAAATTATGATTATATTGATTAATTAATTAATTGGTAAATTATAATTATATTGTTTAATTGATTGGTAAACTATGATTATATTGATTAATTGATTGATAAATTATGATTATATTGTTTAAGTGATTGATTAGTAAATTATGATTATATTAAATAATTTATTATTGAATTATGATTTTATTTATTAATTGATTGATAAATTATAATTACATTGATTATATTCATTTTTAATTTTAGTTTAGAAAATATGTTTCGCAAATTATCAAATTTGATGTATTATTATTTGTGTAGGGATATAAATGTTTTTTTTAATAAAAATTTAAGGAAATATTTCACATGTTGGGGGATGGGAGTTGGATGTATCATTGTTTAAATGATGATGGTTGTCTTATTGATGAATTCAAAATTGGCATGGAATTCTTTTTGGATTATGCATTTTCCTAGTTCTATCCTAAATTTTGTAACCGAAATCACATTAGGTGTGCATGCAGGAAATGTTTGAACCAAGAATGGCATCGTCGTGTCACTATGTAATGTCATTTGATAAAAAGAGATTTTATGAATGTGTATCTAGTCTAGCTTGCACACGGAGAGCAATCAGTGCAAAAGTGACAATGTTATCAATGGGGTGACTCCTCAAGTGCAGCTCCCTTTGTGATATAAGAACCAGGTAATGATTCAATTAAAGAGATGGTTATGCATGCAATGAATCCACATGGCATAGACTATAATATGAATGAACAAACTAGTGAGGACCCAATATTTGAGGAGGATATGGGAGAAGCAAAGGAATTATTTTATCTTTTTCAAGCTACTAACACGCTATTTTATAATGGATGTGATGAGGGTGATACAATACTTAAAGAGGTGTCTCATTTTATGAATACAAAAACACTTTATAATATAAGTATGGCTAATTGGGATTACGTATTAAAGTACAATAAAAGATGGATTAGGCTAGAGGATTAAGATAAAATTCCAAAAGATTTTTATAGTATTAAAAAAATGATGAGGCACTTCAGTTTAGGTTATAAGAAGTATGATGTTTGTGTAATAATTGCTTCTTGTATTACAAGTAATACAAAAACAAAAACTACATCACATGTATAGTATGTGGTGAACTTCATTATAAGTAAGGGCATAAGCAACAAAATCAACATATACCAAGGAAGTCATTGTGGCACCTCCCAATTACACCTGAAGTAAAGAGGTTGTACATGTGTAGAAAAATTGCTAAGCTCATGACATGGCACCTTAGTTGTGCTAGTGAATCTAAAATGATCGCGTATCCTACCAATGCTAAGGCATGAAAACACTTTGAGCGCACCTACCCCAACTCTAGATCATATCTAAGGAATGTAAGGCTTAGATTGTGCACCAATAGGTTCACTCCATTTTGGCATACAATAGCCTTATATTCACATTAGCCTGTATTTTTTATTGTTTACAACCTACCTCCACCAATGCGTATGAAATTAGAGTCCATCTTTCTTTCTCTAATAATCAAATACCCTCATAGTCCAAGAAAAACATTGATGTCATGCAACATCCACTAATTGATGAACTAAAGGAACTTTGGTATAAGGGGGTTAAGATGTATGATAGCTTTAGGCATCAACATTTCATTATGAGGGCAGTACTTATGTAGACAATTAGTGACTTCCCTAGATATGGCATGTTGTCTGAATAGAGCACGTATGGTAAATTGTCATGTTTGTACTGTGGGTAAAATTCTAAGGCATTCCACCTCCTAAATGGTCGTAAGATATCATTTTTTATTGTCACTGATAGTTTTTTACCCCCAGTCATCCATCTAGGAGAAATGGGAATGATTTTGAAAAAGGTCTTGTAGAGAATCTTGCCTAACTAGAGAGATTGTTAGGCAATGATATGTTTTGACTAATTCAATAGTTGCCTAATATATAATTTTCGGAAGCCATCCCAAAAGTATGTGATCGAAGGATTTATCGATTGAGCATAATTGGGTTAAAAGGAGTATCTTTTGAAAGCTTTCCTATTGAAGCACAAACTTAATCCACTATAACCTAGATGTAATGTACTCGTTATGGATGACCCATTGGCAAAGGACGACTTGAAGGCAAGGATGGATATGGAATTGTGTTACAATAAGCCAAGCCTTTGTATACCAATAAGAGGCTCTAATGCAAGTAAAAAACCGAAGGCCACTTGTGTCTTAAATAAGGGGCCAAGAAAACCGGTGTCCCAGTGGCTACAGAATCTTAGATTTCCCAATGGTTTTGCATCTAACATCTCTTGGTATGTGAATATGCAAGAGATGAGAGTTAGCGAGATGAGGAGTCACAATTGTCAAATATTCATGCAAAGTCTACTTCCAATTGCATTTCACAATTTTCTACCGAAACAAGTTCAAGAAGCACTTATAAAGATTAGTGAGTTTTTCATAGCCTTATGTTTTCCAACCATTCATGTCATAGGTATGGAGATTTGGCATGTGAAGATTGTAGAAATAATATACCGACTTGAAAGAATTTTCCTTCCTTTTTTGGATTCAATAAAGCATCTAACAATCTACCTTCCATATAAAGCCAAGGTGGGGGACCAATGCAATTCCATTGGATGTATCCATTCAAAAGGTATTATTAGAATACCTAATTTTTTTATTCTATAATATAAAATAAAATTATTTTTAAATATAATAAATTTTTACTAA